CTCTGCACCTAGCCCATGCAGAGGGGGGGCAGAGTACACAATTTGCATCTTGCCCCAACATTGCCATTGTGAAACCAAAGCTGTGAAATCAAAAGGGTTCAGAGATGAGCCCCCTCACACCAATTCTCCCTTATATAAACTTAGTAGTATGTAAATCCCACCACAAAAATCTCATATAAATTTTAGCATGCTGACAATGCCAAAAGGTAGTTTTCAAGATTTTCAAATCTGCCGTTCTAATGAAAATGATCCCTGGTATTCAGGTGCTAAGATCTACTGCTTTGAGATAATTCACTGTGTGCATGTTATATTATATGTGTGTATAAGATATACACATCTCTCACACACACACACACACCACATGCTAGGCCAAACTAATCCGCTTTCAAATACTTATAGGACATTTTTCTTGGTTGTCAGAAGATGAGGAATGAAATATAAAAATGAATTACATTTGATACACATTTTAGAATTACAGTTGGAATTAATGATGGTTAAGGAGGAGGGATAAGGCAAAGGGTAAAAAGCCAATTAGCATTTAGATAGATGAATACCCAGTTTCCAGATCAAAGTAAGATTATTGCAGGTACCGCAGCTGCAAATGACATTGCTGGGAAAATTCTGATTAGTTTACACAGCAGATTGAAGTGATCATAATTAATGAATAATGTTGGAACGGAATTAAAATGATGGAAAAGATTTTTTCCTTATGTTTAATCCATGCTGACTACTAGTGAACGCTTAATGTGCAGATGCGATACAAAATTATTATATGGTGAAAAAAGTGACTACCGTAGTTTCGGTCTCTGATTTACTGAACTGTCTCTCATTAGGAAGGACTGTCCCTCATTTGGAACCAAATCCCTCTCTCCTCTTTCCTCCTCAGTTGTCAGTCTTTTTGGTTTGATGTACAGATATCTAGGAAAATATCCTATTTAACTACCTGAAGTGTTATTTTGCCCTAAAACCTTTATCCTAACTATCTTGTTTTTCTATTTTGGAAAGCCATTATAAAAGAAAAGTGGTGGAAAAATAAACGCACCTTTAGAAATGTTCAGTAATGGCAATATACACTTCTAAATTGCAGGCTTTTTATTCTTTGCATACCTTATTTTCTTTCCTTCTCATTCTTTTTACATTGGCCATTTTTACTAAGTCCCCATTCACACCTATGCGTACTGGGAACATGTATCGCATTCTCAATGTGTGCTGCACATGCGACAAACATGGGAAAGTAGCTCATGTAGCACGTTCTGTTACATGCGTTCTGCATTTTAACGGCCACGTTTGGGGAGCCATTAACAAGTAATGGCACCACAAGCGCATTGTGAATTTTTGATGCGTTCCATGAATGCGCGCCCAAGATGCACATTTGGCATGCGTCAATGGAACGCTTTAGGTGTGAACGGGGACTGAGGGCAGATGAATTCCTTTCCCTTTACTTTGGGCAACTCTGGCACATGCGACTGAGACATGTGACCATGGACATCATCTCAGGGGAAAAATACCTTTCCCTGAGATCTTATGAGATTAGAGATGAGATTTCCCAGCAATGCTCTGCTGTTGTAACCTTCCCAGGATGCAACACTTAGGCACAGGCTATATCACTAATGCCTAAGAGGACCAGGAAGTGGAAAAACAGTAACTGTAAGCAAAAAAAAAACATGTTTATGTTAGGGGCATGTCTATTGCCTAGTTGTCCCTCTTTCTCATCTCAGACGGTTGAGCATCACTTAACTGCAGAAATAAGCTGAAGGCCTTTTGAGCTTCCACAAATATAGAACAGTGGGGCCCTCTGCTTAATATAGGTTACATTTAGGAGTACAGTATGCAAGATGTCATTACATTGCACCTATGATTTAATTTCTTGCTCTGAAGATCTGTCAAACCAAATTCCTGTCTGCTGGTTTTTCAACACACATACATATACGCATATGCATAGAGAACGAGCAATAAAAAAAATGAAAAAGGATGCAGTTTTCTTGGTCTCGCTTATAAGTGTATAGCAGATGTGTATTTGCTCATTTTGTTTCCTGTTTTTAAAAGCAGACATTTTTTTATCACAGGTAAAGACGGACCTAATAATAGTAGAATTTCATTTATCTGGAGCTTTTTCTTTATAATGACTGAGACTAGCAAATCACATGGTAAGAACTATGGCAATTGGCTTATGGTCATTTCTAGTCAACTACAGTTGACCTGTGACAACATATAAAAAACACTCTTAGAAGTAGGCCCACCTTCCATGAGCAGTCATGAAAAAAGGATGATGGATAGTGCTACATTTGACACAATGTGATCCACCGTGGATCTGCCATATATAAA